TCCGCTGGCCTACTCGTGTGCGGCCAACATCGAAAGCCGCTTCTCCGACGAACCCTCTACATTTCACTCGTCATGGCGAAATCAAGGTTGGCTCCCCGCGATCGGATTACCATCCCCCGACTCGAGTTGCTCGCTGCTCTGATTGCGGTGCGACTGAAAGAATTTTTAACTCAGAATCTGAGCATTGCGTTCGAAGCCTACAGATTCTACACCGACTCGGCGATCACTTTCCATTGGGTCACATTCGCGAACCCTGGAGCATGGAAAACGTACGTCAGCAACCTGGTCATCGAAATACGGGCCAACTCCAGGCCGGAGGAATGGTTCCACGTCAAAGGCAAAAGGAACATCGCCGCCGACCTCGCCACTCGCGGGGTGAGCGCTGAGGCGCTCGAAAAATCTACAGAATGGTGGATCGGCCCTGAGTGGCTGCGTCTGCCGTTGGAGCAACAGCCATTAAGTCGACCGAGCGCGAGTGACGACGACGTCGCTGGAGTCAGAAGTGAATTGAGAGCGATTGTCGCTCCAATCGTCTCGCAACGGCCTCTTCTCGACCTGGCTCGCCATAGCTCCGCGGGCCGTGCCGTTCGCGTCCTGGCAAACGTCTTGCGGTTCTGTTCGTTAATTCGGCACTCGCCTTTGCCGGACGTCAAGCTGCTCCGCCAAACAGCTGAGTGTCATCTGATTCGCTGGGCTCAATGTGAGCACTTCCACACGGAAATCGAGGCCGTTCGATCAAAGGAACGGATCCCGGGAAACTCTAAATTGGGCGCCTTCAACCTCTTCCTTGACGAAGACGGACTTCTTCGCGCAAGGACCCGGCTGACTTGAGGACCCTTCTTCTCGTACAACGAAAAAAATCCGGTCGTCATACCCGGCGGTTCCAGACTGGCTGAACTGCTCGTGGTTGACGCTCACCGAGTGAACGCCCATTTCGGGGTGTCGACCGTCCTCTCGCAGCTCCGTCGGCGCATTTGGCTGACCAGGGGTCGGCAGATCGTCAGGGCAATCCTCAGATAATGCGTGGTGTGTCGCAAGCGTCATGGAGCGCCGGCGACGCAAATTGAAGCACCCTTACCCACGTCAAGGGCGGAGCTCCGCGACCCGTTCCATGTCACCGGGGTGGACTTCTGCGGTCCCTTTCACATTCGTCAACGCCAGGGCACGCATAAGGCCTACGTTGCTGTCTTCACTTGCACGACCATTCGAGCCGTACATCTCGAGTTAGTTCCCTCGCAATCAACTCCTCAAACACATTTGGCCATACGAAGATTTTTAGCATCACACCCCGCTTGCATTCGATTCATATCCGATAACGGCGCGTCCTTCGTGAAGGCAGCTACTGAACTGAAACGCCTGTTCAACACCGTCAGAAATCCCGACGTCCGGAAGGTTCTGAATGGTCGTAGCATCGACTGGTCATTCATCACGCCGAGGATGCCGTCTCATGGTGGATTCTATGAGGGGGCTGTCGGGATTCTAAAATCAGCACTGATCAAGACCCTAGGGCGAAGCCTGATTGGTTATGAGGAGTTTCGTACCGTCTTATGTGAGCTCGCAGCCATTATCAACGAGCGGCCGTTAACGTACGTTCCCAATGACGCGAACGAGCCGACTGCTATAACCTCTGCGCATTTTCTCCGAGGTGGTTTCTTTCACCGCGGTTACGCTGGTCTGCTGCAGACTGATAAACTACGCAGTGACGAGTTGGCCACAGCCGACGATCTCCGGCGAGGACTCGCCTTGAGGACGACGTATTTCAAGAGTGTCTCTGTGCGATGGTTCAGGGAGTACCTGTCACTCCTTCGATCCGCAAACGCGACGCGTGGCAAGCGATCGCCTCCAATCCGTGTCGACGACGTTTGCATCCTCGGAGAAGACAACGTCGCTCGGGTACGATGGCCGTTGGTTCGCGTCATCGAGGCGCACGCTGGTAGGGACGGCCTGGTTAGAACCTATACTGTGAAATTCGCCGCAGAGCCGCTCAGCTCTTGTACCCTTTGAAGGTTACATCCGAAGATCTTCCGAGGCTCCCTACGTCTGATTCGAACGACACTGTTACAGCTCCGCCGGAGTGATTACTTGTGATATCGCGACACCTCGTACATCTGTATATATTTCGGAGAAATCATTGTGATCCGTTGTAAATTAATGGGAGAAACGCGAGCGTTTCAGGGGGCAATGTAAAGAATATTCGTACCGTGCGCGTCGGGTGCGCTTGTGTGGCGCCCTCGCTCTCAAGATAAACAATAAGATAGCAACAAGTTGTGCCGTTTAGGGACTTCGTCTCGTCATGATCATGATTCCCCTCTGAATACAAACCCAAATAATTCACAAATGTCATCCTTATAATTTAAATGGATAGATATCCGGCAGATTCAACAAATAAATACTCCGCGCGGCGGTCTGCACTGAAGCTCAAAAAATAGGCGCTCGGAGATCGATGACGGACGTTCACGCTTCACGCGAAGCGTCCGAATCGCCAATCAGTCTCGATCGTCAACATTACCCAGTCGCCATCTTGAAGCGACGATAAGCGTGTGGTCGCGATAACGCGACTGTGACAAGAATCTCAAACTGAAGTCTCGATAACCCCACTTATCGGTCCACATCTATGACGGCATCCCCGGGTTTTGGACGAGCAAGTCTCCCCGGCCCGTCGTTCCTCGGGAATCAGTTCCCATAATCAGTGCAGGCCACCCGCTCTCGGAGCTAAGGATACCCCCTCGTGTACTCTCTCATTGGTCCAGCGGAGTGTACCCCACAGCGATGACACCGATTATTATGGGCTCGTCAATGAATGGATAGCCGTAAAGTTCCACATGCACGATCATGCTTACGAAAATTCCACGATGGCTCAATCGTACGGGGATCATACCTACAGCGTCTGGATTTGAATCTGCGGCGGGGATCAACTCCTCATCTCTATGCTCCCCGAGTTCCCGTTCTATTGCAGCAGTAAGATCCCGGAAACCAATCGCCTTGATACCGGTACACAGGGACGTTTCGCCGCGACTCTCTGGCCGCGGGACCGTTCGGTCGCACCACCGTTTGGCCGCCGTGGGATTAATTGAGAAAATAAGCGACTGGAAGGGACGGCTCTCAGGAAGTTTGTACGAGGGATCCATGAGGGGAGGCTTCAGGTCGGGATGCAGAATACGGATGTATCTCCCTGAATGAATGGGTATTCAGCTCGTCTCTATACATGGCATACCAGAGAAGACTCGAGTCGAGTATCCAAGCGATTTTCAGCAAGCTCAATCTTGGTTTCGGTAGCTGAGGTTCTCCACAAGTGGAACGCTCTCAACTTCCTTGGAAAAGCGTGCATGCGGCGATAAACGGCATCAACAAAAACACGCGAAGTTCAGCAACATCCAAACATTTGAACCGAAGTCCAGAGCTAGGAATCTTCCAACCCCTTTTTGTAATCTCCTAGATCAGCATGTCTGAGTTTCCGACGATGGTCAAGTCTTTTCGCG